TTGCCTTCTGTAAATCCCGTTGTAATTCCTCTACAAGATGACTCTAGCGACAGCTCCGAAGTCGAGGATGATATATAAATACCTATAATGTAAGTCTTTATATACCTTTTTATATACCTACCTGCTATGTAAATATTTGCCTATGTCAAACGTTGGAATTCTGTAATTTTTCCATTTCTTAACTTTCAGTCAACATAAATTAAACTCCCAATATAAGTATTTTTTATCCCAAATCAAAAAAATAAGAAGATAGTAAAATCCATTTATATAAAAACATTATTATTATCGTTCCAAATAAATGACCGCACGCCTATGATACGTCATGAAATTACAAAGGACGCGCCGACCAAAGGTTTTTATGCTATTTCAAGTGACTTCAGATAAAGTATACCTATATCTAACTCAAGAATATGATTTGCCTGCTGCCCACGACCTTGCAACCCACAAATTAGTTGGTCAATTGGCTGCCCCGTCACCACGTGACCCCGGTTGCATTGTTTTGGGCAGAAGGACACCAAAGCAGTCGTTGCGTCATTCCTCCATAGATGGCGTTCGTGGACTACTCGAGATTATATATCAAAGTACACCTTGTAATCAGAACTCTAATATTACTAACAAAACAGGTAAAAAATTAATGGCGTACAAAACCTCGATAGTTAATTTGCTTTCCCAGATGACTAATGGTTTTCTTATTTACGAAAACTCTTTTCCACGTAATTACCCAAAACAAGTGCTCATCACACATTTATGTGGTAACCCATTGATTATTGGAACAATGCCGTTCACTTAGAGGCCTCAAACAATAAGTTGCGGAGAAATTTTGGTGCTATTGGATGATGGCTACTCTAAGACTAGTCGATCTTCTCTGTACGCTCTGGTGTTTTTCTCCGACTAAAAACTCAAAATTACAATACGCTCAACTACTGGTCGCCATTTTGATATATGCTTCTCAAGCAATGTGTGTTATGGTATCATATCGAGCCTCTGTAAGGGAAGACGGCTTCCAGGTACGATCTATCGCCATACTCTTGGATTTTTTGGCCGTCGCTATAGCTGCATTCACCAATATAGTCTCCATAGCTCAAGCAATGGTCTTTAAGAGAAAAGAGGCACTCAAGTTGAAATATGAGATCGACTACCTCCAGAAGCTTTATGGTTACTCTACTCCCAATGTAATATCAATCTTACTATCGGAAGCTCTACTAATAGCGACTTTGGTGTATGATGCAGCGATGTTCCGAGTGACTTTGGCTACTTGGTATATATGGTTGCCATGGCATTTGAGCTGCATCATGACTTCTTACAACGTCCTCCTAATCACGTCATACGTCGAAGCCCTTTACTATCCATTCAAGAAATGCAATGATGGTTTTCGTAAGAAATGGAAGTTATGTCAAAACCAAAATAGACCACTGCCATACCAAGATTTCGAACAGTACAAGAGTGGTCATGCAAGGGTTTGTAACGTGGTGAAGCTAGTAAATGACTGCTTTGGAGTACGGAGCTTACTCTTTATCATTACAATTCAAGCTTTGTTGATTCGCGTGATGTATATTCCACTGAAGCTGTATCTACATGGCATACATGGAACTAATCTTCTAAGGGTAACACCAGGCTTCATAGGCTACTGTATGAGTTTCCTGGTGAGTAAAATATTTGTATATTGTATTTTACTCAGTTGGCTAACCAGACCTGTCGGACTATAACAGTCCAAAAAGGTTTTTAACCCAAAGCCAAGGCCAATGGACCGTTCTGTGAGACAAAGTGTTCTACGTGCATCGTCACATAGCAAATATTCTAAGCATATTATGAATGATATTGATTCGTCTGCTGAATACTCAGTTCTTAAGGAACAAGCAGTGACGGATGCAAAACTGGAACATCAAGTGTGTATCTTTTAGCAGAGTTTTTGACCGAAATTGAAGCTGCATTTTTGTCTAACAAAGAGAGGCTTCAGGAATGCATATCTTGTAGCGTGATGGACAGCATTTCGAGCGTTGACGGGGCCATTACATTTCATCATATTTAGGGCCAAAACTTGATAATAAAAATAGTTTAAAAAATAAAAAATTAAAGGATTTCCGTATAAGTTTTCTTTGGCCTTAGGAACAAGATATCGAGATGCAGTGTTCGCGGGCTTGTTTAGACATCGTTTTGCTAATTAAAAAAAAATCATACCCGTGCATTTAGTTTTTTGGAGAAAATTAATCATCTCTGTAGGAATGCCGAAAAAGCTCTCTACCGGCCACTTGTCAAAACTAACACAACTTCGAATATTATAAAATATGTAGCCCAAAAATAGCTCTTTTCAACCAGACCAAGTTTGTTAAAATCGGCTCAGGCGTTTCGAGGATACAGGATGCTGTTTTTGAAATGGCTCAGATTATTCACGAATTTAAAGATCATGTATTTTTTTATTTTTATATAGCGGAATTTTTATATTTTTTTTCTTGGCCGTTTTAGATTCCCAGATACAGTACCTCGCATTCTTAGTTGGGCACCCTGTATATTGAGTTTCTGGTTAAGCAGACAATAAGATCAACAAATCCTTTAATTTACAGCAAAGGTCCTACGACCCGAGGCATAATTATGTTCGACCTCATTTTTACCTGTAGTGTATTAAAATGACCGAAAATTTTTTCATAGTGCAATTTTTTGCTTTTTGAATAAAAAAACTGATTCTTCGCACTTTTCAACATAAAAAAGCTCTCCTGAGAGTTTTCGTTATAGTTGGCCGTTTTTGAGATATTTCGATTTTTAAGGTTCGATGCATTTTTAATTATTTATGGAAAAATAATATTTTTTTCCATTTTCCATTTGGGCATTACATGTAATTAAGATGATCGTTCAGATTTTGTTTTTAAACACAGCAATAATTCCTAACTCCAAATAAACACAAAGAAACAGAATATTAATTTGTTTAATTTTCCAATATTATTTTTAACAAATTAAATTAATTATTTACAACTAAAATGCTATTGGATAGTTACTACAAACATACAAAATCTAAAGTAGTTGCTCGAAATGTAAACCCAATTGTTCAATACACAATTCACATCTACGAATGATCGAACGTGGTATAGCATTATTCAAATAAGGCCTTATTTCATCACATGCATTCCTGATTCTGTCTATTAGCATATGTCTTGTGGTTACAGGAGTCTGGTACACTTTTTCTTTTAGAAATCCCCACACAAAGAAATCTAATGGATTCAGGTCAGGGGATCGTGGAGGCCAGGCGACTGGTCCTCCACGGCCGATCCATCTTTCTGGATAATTTTCGTCCAGCCAGTTTCTAACTATTCTCTGGACAACCATCAATCTGGATTCAGGCCAATCTTCTTGAATCTAACATAACATCATCCCACATATTTGCATGTTCAGCCTTTAAAAAGGTCGCAGCATTTAACCTTGCAGGCAAAAGGTAGGGTCCAAATAGTCGATTACGGTAGATACCAATCCACACGTTTACACTAAATTCATGCTGAAAATTTCTTTCCCGAACTGCATGCGAATTTTCATGCGACCAAATATGTTGATTATGAAAATTTACCAGTCCACGTCTAGTGAAGCATGACACATCGGTCCATAAAACGTTACTTAAAAACTCCCTATTATTATCAGTTCTATCAAGAATCCACTGACAAAATGTGATTCTTCGTTCTCCGTCCCCTGGCTGTAGTCCTTGCACAGGTTGCAAATGGTAACGACGTCTAAGGTCATTTCTAAGAACACCGTGAACATGGCTTGCTGAAATTCCCAAGGCACCAGAAACTCTCCTAACACTTGTGGTTGGATCTCTATCAAACTCACGCGGAATCGTACGGGTAAATCTGCGCTGACGAACATTCATGTTTTGATCCCTTTGGAGATTTCCAAAACCATTTTCAATTATTTGGCGATGCACTCTTACAAATACTGAGCGAGTTGGATGTCGTCTGTTTGGAAATCTTCGTGCGTATTCTCTGGCTGCTTCTGCTGCGTTTTCATATAGAAAGCCATACACAAAATGAATATCCGCTAACTCTTGATTGAAGAATAAAAATGGCATTTTTATAAAACTTACAAAAAAAAATAGGTAAAAGAAACTAAATTTCGTGCATTCACAATTGCAAAAAACGTTTCAGGTTTCAACAGACAACAAAACTAACTGTCAACTAATTGACGTTTAACCTTATTCTGCTTTCAATTTCAAAAATATTTGCAGGCACAGCCTACTTCTAAAAATTATCGAGATACTGACTTTTTAACGTTATTTTATCATAAATAATTAAAAATGCATCGAACCCTAAAAATAGAAATCTCTCAAAAACGGCTAACTATAACGAAAATTCACAAGAGAGCTTTTTTATGTTGAAAAGTGCGGAGAATCATTTTTTACGTTCAAAAAGCAAAAAATTGCACCAAGAAAAAATTTTTGGTCATTTTAAGACACTACAGGTACAGTAGAGGGCGCCCTCTAGCGGCTACAGTAAAACTATGGTTCGTTTTGTCGTACCAAAAAACCCTTGTATACCAATTTTCACTGTTATACATCAAATATTGTTCGAAATATTTAAAAAAAAATATTTTAGAAAGTAAATTTAAACACTCTGTATTTCGGAAGCCACGCATTTTTCGACCCATGTTTATATACACTTTATGCATTAATTTTAAAAGTTCTATCGAATCTAAAAGTTATGCAACAATAAACTGAAACACCCTGTATACAGAGATTGTTAATGTGCGAAAAAATGTTATTTACATTCATCACAAGCATCGTGACATAGCACCTATTTCCCTCAAATGGATCATTCTGTGTAATGATGAGCCAACACTAATAAATAAAAAATAATAGATATCAAACGATGGCTATCAATATGTCAGACGTTCCTTATTATCGTCAATCACTCACTTTTTTGCTACTTACTCAAACAAAAAGCAATACTTCAAATATTGTATGGTCAATCACTTGGAACATTTTATTTGCTATTCGTTTACGAAATACACCACTCATCATAATGACGTTAGCAGAGAAAAAACATCGGTGTCGTTGTACAATAGATACTCTCAAAATACTCGATACAGTTTGCAGTTTGTTGTGTTTTTCACCAACAAAAATCGCGAAAGCAAAACATGTCCAATTATTTGCAGGTATCTTGATATGTTCTCTTCAAGTGACCGGTATAGTGTTTGCTTACCAGTTCACTGTCAGCAAGGCGGACTTTCAAAGTCAGACAATCCTTAACCTTCTAGACTTCTTGACTGTAACATTGTCGACCTCAGCAAATATCGTATCAGTTGTGCAGGCGTTGATTGTCAAAAGAAAACATCTGTACAAGTTAAAGCAAGAGATTGTATATCTGCAGAAGTGCTACATGTACAAAAATAGCAATGTCAAGTCGACTTTGCTACCAGTAGCGCTTTTTATATCAATTTTAATATTTGACGCATTAGCAATAGCGGTACCAATAGACATATGGAGACATTGGATGTTCTGGTACCTCAACAGTTTCATGAGCACGATCAACATACTCCAGTCTATCTCATATATCGAAGCTCTGCACTACGCCTTCAAGAAGTTCAATGGTGATATTTGGAAGAGTTGGATGTCATGTCATCTATACCAGAGATCCATATCCCGCAAGGATTTCAAATACTTCAAGCGCCACCACGAAAGAATTTGTGATACAGTGAAGCTGGTCAATAGTTGTTTTGGAGTGCAGATCTTTTGCTTCATCATGCTGGTTGAGTGTGCACTGATTCGAGTAGCATACCTGCCGTTGAAATTGTATCTCCAGGCACTACACGGGTCTGCACTTATTAAGATTACACTGGCCGCCGTTGGGTATTCCTTGAGCTTTCTAGTAAGTAATGATCGTTTGACCGTCTTTAAGGATAATCAATTATCTTTGATAAGACTGAAATTCTAGCTGATTCGACTTTACATTAAGTAGCATGACCTTGAAGGTGTCCCAGCCTATGAGGACAGAAAAATTATACGCATATCCTCATTTTTTTCCATTTGACTATAACAAGTCAAAACATATACATAGGGTAGGATCGCCTAAGAGTACGCGTTCCATAAGAGTACGCGATCGCCATTTTTTTATTGTTATCCCCGCCAGTCGGCTGTCGTCTCGTCAGTAGTTAGTTGTTAGTTGTCCCAAGAGTTTGTGTAGTTTTGCTGACAATTTTTAACAAATGCGTAACATATATGCGGAAAAAATAGTTTTCCTGAAATTACATGTAATATTTTGAACTTACTGGGTAAGTAATATTTAATTAAATTTTTATAAAAAATCGTAAATATGCCTTAAACAGTAATGTTTACAGTTGATCCTTAGCGACATACATACAGTTTTTCTGGTTGCCTAAATTTGTAACTCAGTGTTTAAATTTTTCATGTCAAGGTTCCTAAGAGTACGCAGGCAAAGAGTACGCATGCGAACTCTTAGGATTCGTGCGTACTCTTAGGGACACATGAAATGACTTCTTATTATTTGTTTTAGTTTGTTATAATGGGTAAATACAAGCGAAAGAGCGATAGATCATTAAAATTTACTCAAGAAATCATCGACCAAGCAAGGGACCGCATCGCAAAAGGGGAAAGTAAAAGATCGGTCGCAAAGTCCTTTCATGTGAATGAGTGTACATTAAGAAAAAGATTGCGAGAGGTAATAATAAACTGACGATTTTAACGTCAAAATGCAATTTTATTTTTATTTTAGGGTACTATTCCATCTAGTCTGGGTAGATTTAAGCCTGTATTTTCACAAGCACAGGAAAAGGAATTGGCTGACCATATCAAAGATCTAGATAACAGATTTTATGGACTGCGTATGAAAGATGTTAGGTACTTGGCCTTTCAGTATGCAGAATTAAATAAAATTCCGCATAGGTTTAATACAGAAAACAAGATGGCGGGGAAACACTGGGTACAAGATTTTGCAGCAAGAAATACTTTGTCTCTCAGAGCTCCAGAAAAATGCAGCTTAGGTCGCGCTATCGGCTTTAATAAAGTTCAGTGTCAACGCTTTTTCGAAAATTTAAAAATAGTTTACGAAAAATTAAAACTACCACCACACAGGATCTTTAATATGGACGAGACGGGATTATCTACCGTACCAAACAAGCTCCCAAAAGTTTATGCTTGTAAAGGGAAGAAAACTGTGTCAAAAGTTGTATCAGGTGAACGAGGTCAGCTAGTTACGGCTGTATGCTGCATGAGCGCTGGTGGTACTTGGGTTCCGCCAGGTCTTATTTTCGCAAGAAAAAGAATGAAGGAGGAACTTTTTTTTGGAGCACCTCCTGGGACATTAAAAATGATCTCAGATTCAGGTTATATGAACACTGATTTGTTTGTAATTTGGTTGCGACATTTTTGCGACTTTGTAAAACCATCCGAAACAGATCCAGTGGTTTTAATAATGGACAATCACACATCTCATTGCTCATTGGAGACCATTTTATTCTCTAGAAGTCATTTTATAACGCTACTAACCCTACCTCCTCATGCAAGCCATAAAATTCAACCCTTAGATAAAGGATTTTTCTTTCCCTTAAAAACAGCTTTTTCAAACGAATGCGATAAATGGATGGTCAACAACCCTGGACGCCCTATTACTTTAAAAGAAATGGCTGCCATTTTCCATTTTGCTTATTCAAAAGTCACTACTATAGAAATATGTGAAAAATCATTTGCTTGCACTGGGTTGTTTCCTTATAACCCAGACGTTTTTAGTGATTTAGATTTTGCTCCATCTGAGGTCACAAACAGACCACATCTAGACCTGGCCCAAGAAACTCAATCTGAAATACAAAGAATCGAATCATCTGTTGAAGAGAGTTCATTTGATGACGATTGCACTCTTGCAGAAGTAAGAAATACCATAATAAAAGAAAACTTAAAATTAACCGAAGAAAAGCAATCTACGATTCCCGAACCACAAAGTTCAGACGTTACTGAAAGTACAGCTTACTTTAAAGCAGCTCCTAAGGAACTAAGTGAACCAGGTACAAGTGGCTATATCCCGCCTAAAAACGATAAGGAAAAATTATTTGAAAATGAGCAAACTAGAACACCAAGTCCAAAAAGTACAGGCTTTACCAAAATTTCAACTTATGTTGAGGCTACGTCTGCGGCACCGATTGATCTAGGTTTAAGTGTTTGTATTACTCCTAAAATGATTTTACCGTTACCAAAAGCTACCCATGAACAAGTAAGAAGAACTAAATCTAAAAAGTCGGAAATCCTGTCATCTACCCCATACAAAGACAAATTGTTGGAAGAAAAAGATAGGCGTAAAGAAGGCCTAAAGAAAAAGGGAGGAAAAAGAAAAGTTTTTGGTGATTCTGGGCAAAATACAGAAATCCAGAAGAAGAAAAAAGTTGACACTGAAAAAGACAATACGATTTGTCCCGGATGTTCCGAGCATTATTCTACATCCGATTGGATTAAGTGTCACTTGTGTCAAACATGGTGGCATGATGACTGCTCTAATTATCTAGGAAATGGCCTATTTTCTTGTGACTTATGCCTACATTTAAAAGAATAAGTTTAGGTACAGCCAATTGGGCGATATATCTTACCGCGTACTCTTTGGTTTACATGCGTACTCTTTAGGACACAATTGAGTACTCTTAAGGAACCTGTATCCTAAGAGTACGCATTTTATTGTTTTTGTTTAAACTTTTATATTTTCGTTAAATGTTAAAATGTATGGCAAAATTTGTCTTTTAAGTTTAGATTAGTATGTAAGCTAAAATATTTTGAATAAAAATTTCAACTTAAAGCATTTCAATTATTTTTAAACAAAGTAAATTGGTTAAGTGCGTACTCTTGTGCGATCCTACCCTATGTTCTAATGGAACTCGGCACGGCTTGCCCTGGTTCGAGGTACATAAAGCTTTATTTACAATTATTTTGACATTGTTTAAAATTAGAGGTTACACTTTTTAAAAAAAGAACTTTAATTTTTTTGGGATAGCCTAGTGAACAGCTCTGACTTTGTGTTAAAGATCAAAATCTTAATTCAACGTCATGTTGACTTCCAAAGCCATAGTGATCGGTGAACGTAAAGCAGTAAAATATCAAATTTGTCAGTTATTTCGAAGCTGCTGGCCAGCATGCCATAAATGCCTGGGCAGGCAGCGACAAGCAAAAAGAAGCGAAAGTTAAGTGCTGATGTTAGCTTCAACGCGGAGTAAATGAAGTTTGAACAGTTGCGGGAGTATGCATTTTCGTAGCCGGCCTTGGCCAAAATTGTAGAATATAAATTGTTTGCTCGATACAATACGACCAAAAATCTCAAAGCGATCTATTTCAGGTCTTTGCATGGCAGCTGGCGCGATACTCCATCAGAACAACAGCAGAAGCAAGAAAGCTCTCCCAGATCAGTCACAACATCCACATGAGGCTTCCTAGCCGCCCTCAAAGCCATCAAGAGAAAGCTATGAAAGAACAGATAATGCTCCTAGCTGAACGTACCAATGAAAAAAGTGTTTGCTTTTCCACTATCATGTTTACTATAGATAATTCTATGCTGTTGATGATTTTCAACTCTGTAACTACATACCTCATAATTTTATTACAGTATTGAAGTTAACAGTAAAATTTGAAAGACGACTTTTGTAACGCGTGTCACTTTGTTGCAGAAACTCTTTTAGATTGAAGTGATCTTCTGACTTTAACCGAAGGGTAATTTTACCAAAAGAAGGCAGTTAGGCAAGGTGTATACCTTAGAAAAATGTGGACTGGTGTCTAACTACCAGTTGTTTTTATTTGCCAAGAGATGCATGCGGTGTTGCCAGATGAATTCCTTGTTTTGGTGAATACATTGTCCAGCACATGTTTGGAAACTTATTCACGGTGGGGATATTTATCGCTGATTTGTAGCTAACCAAAGATATTTTTCAATCAATGTGTACATCATTTATTTAGGTGCATCCACATCAAGCAACTGCAAAGATACTTGACACTCTAACTCTTCTTCACGGTGTTTGATTATGTCTCATAGCGCCTTAAAGATTTTCTCATCAAAGCATAAGTCTTCTACATTTATGCCTGTCACTGACTATCTGACAAGATATAAACCAGCAATGTCTGAAGATCACAGAATAGCCAAAGCCTCTTCTAATTACTACTTTTTTATTCTCAAACAGTGAATGGAAACAAAAACGTCGTCTGTCACACCCAATTTGTGGTGTGTATGCAAGAGAGAGTAGCAGTCGCGTTGAGACGGCTTCTGCATCGTACAATTTCTATGGGAAAGTTTTAGCGCAAGTGGTGTACAGATGAGATGCTATTTTTATATGAAATTGTGCGCCAAGCACAGTGAAAAGTACTTATTTAGGTCAATATGAATAGCAGCCTCTAAATGTTTTTTGTTAGTTTGAAAACACTGCACGCCTGCTTCGATGGTAGATGCCGTGCCATCTATGTGCGAGTCGCTAAGCCAAAAGCGGTTTCTTGACAGATGTCAAGCCATCTATGAGCTCTTGGTTTGCTCATATTTTTGATGTAAAGCAGTAAACCAGGTCAATCAAGCCAACTGGCGGATTTAAAGTGCCATGTCTCTTGATGTAACTACTTAACTCTGTAGAACATCAAATCGTATAAACTGATGATTAATTTAGAAGTAATTTTTTTAAAAGCATAACAAATAAAAGCTTTCCGTACATTTTTCTGATCAAAGAAAACAAGCACTATTGACACTTAGCTATTGAATACTGTTTCTGATGGTACTGCAGCTGGTGTGGTCCGCTTCGAGTTTCAATGTGTGTCTGTTGAAGGAACAGGCCAATAAAATAAAGTAACTATATTATCCAATAATTTACAGTTTGTACAAAAAATATCAATCTGTTAACAAAATCAATAAGGCTCACTGGAAATATGGACAGTCTTTCTTTGTGTCTGTCTCCACACAGTAGGTTCCGCGAGCACTGAAAGAAATAACTTACTTCAGTAACTAAGAAACATTTTTAGAGTAGGATGATGTTAGTAGAGGAACACAAGAGGCTAAATGAGTAGCTACTTTAGCGTCGTTGGACCTAATATTGGGTTTTGAAGATTAGGTCACAGAAAGAAAAATAAAGTTTATATGTTATTGGTTAAAAAAATTGCTGGAAATTATTTTCAGCCCCCTAAAACAGCGGCTAGGAGGTGTCACTATTAACTTATAATTAGAAATACCGTTTCTCGGAAACCCCAAATGCATTGGTATTATCATGTTTCATTATTTATGAAGTTCATGAATACTCCTACGAACTGTTGAAAAGCGCATGTCGTTATCTTCATTCGTTATAACGTGTTTTTGCGTGTTTGTGACCCTCTCTTTATCTTAGTACAGGGTGGGCCATGAATTAGTTAACATTTGAAAAAATCGTACGAAAAAAAAACATTTGAGATATTTTAAAAATTGTTTATTCGCAAGAAAGCTAATTAGTTGGAATTCATTTCTTGAAAATTGTATCATCTAAATGACCACCGTTACGATTGTTGCACTCTTCTAAACGTGTACCTAGGTTTTCGAATACTCGTCGGCATAAAGACTGCGAGATCGCCAACATCTCTTCGTTGATGTTTTCTTTCAGTTGATGGGCTTATCGATGTAGACAGGACTTTTTAAATAACCCCATAAAAAAAGTCTGGTGGGGATAGATCTGGACTTCTGGGTGGCCATGGGATGTCGCCTCGTCTGGAAATGAGCTTTTCCGGATACATTTCTGTGACCACCGGCAGGGACTCGTTGGATGTGTGACATGTGGCTCTATCTTGTTGAAACCATGTGTTACGATTATATCTAGCTAATTCCAGTAGCATCGTTGCCAAGACTCCCGTGATATTTTCACATACTCAGCAGAATTAACAGTAACTGAATGGCCGCGAGAATCTTCAAAGAAGTAGGGGCCAATGATTCTTTTTGCTGAAATTGCAGCCCATACAGTTACTTTAGGAGGGTAAAGTGGCTTCTTGTGGTTAGCTTTGGGATTTTCGTTGCTCCAGTACCTGTAATTCTGTTTATTCACATATCCGTTGAGGTGCAAATGGGCTTCGTCAGAAAATAAGAGATTGTCAAAATTACTGAATCGAGCTAACATCGTTTCGGCATACGACATGCACAAATTTAAATCATTTGGTTTTAGTTCCTGCACTATCTGGATCTTATATGGATGTAATTTCAAATCTAATCTCAAAATACGGCGTAATGATGTGCGGGATAATCCTAATTCAGCCGAAGTGGAAACTTGCTCCGAGCAGTCCGTGGGCCGCCGGTTTGCTTCACGTTAAGTGTAGATCCCGTCTCTTCGAACTTCTTCACCGATTTCGTTATCAAAGGAGCACTCGGACACGGATTTATTATATATTAAAAAATCTGTCGCTACAAATATTTAACAAACATTTTTGAAAATATTTAATTAATATTTAATGCAATCGGGGTAGCTCCTGAAGATGATGGCATAGACCATCAAAAGATTGAGTTCTAAGTTAACAGAGCGTACTTTGCAAAAAATGTTCCGTCTTCTACTTTCTCCTAATGAGTTAATTGGCAATTAACTATGTCCACTGTATATTATTATTACATATACTCCTCTATCTCATAGTGGTGACTATGGCAATTATAAACGCGATCTTAGGACGCCCATCATATTGGATTTAAAATGCGTCTGTCTCATTAAGTCCTTTCATTTGATATCCATAGCATATGGATGCTATACGCCATTTTCGGCAGTCGCCATATTGGGCCTAAAATGACGTCACTATGCTTGGATTCAAAGTGGCCGCAGTGTCTCGGGGAGAAGACGTGTGTAAAAACCTCAGCTTAATTGGTTACGGTTAACTACTTCAGTTCCAAGTTTTGTCCCACACATTCTAACATACTAACTAAGATACAAACAATCATGTTGAATAACAGCTTGTAACAAAGGTATATTTTCTTACTTAAAAGGAGTATTTTCGCCCATGGGTATGCTTTTTCCTGGAACGACTCCCCATTTTGAACTGCTTCTTTTTGGACATTCGGATGAGCATGGCCTGCCGATAATAGGTTTATTGTTAAGCATCAGGGTCCTGGCAAAGTAACAAGCACTTTGGAAATGACTACATCGAACTTGCTCTGAAAAAAAGACGTATTATCCATTCAGTATATTTGAAAGTTCATAAATGTACATATATCTAGTAGGTAACAACAAAATGCATACAACAATTTCCATGACTAGGGCTACATAACTGGCGTAGAAATTTGGAAATGTTGACCCCCCTGTGAAGAAGGTAGCGAACGTTTTCCTAAGAGACTAGCTTTTTTGAGGTATACAGTTATATGTACATTTGAGTCGCCTCTCTCAACAAATTGTTGTGAGACTTCTAAAAATGAAATCCATATAAAAGACTTCAGTCCTTTCTGCTTTATTCAACCACCTTTCATGCTTTCAAATGTAGGCCATACTTGATTTTAGGGAATATGGCGCTAGTTAGGCTTCGGCACGGGTATCATGTAAAAAACCTACAAAACGTCAAAAAAAACCTATAAGATGTCAACTTGCAGACTAGGTAGTTTTTAGGGCGCAAACAGTCATTCCACGTTTGCTCTCTAGGATCGTTTTGAACGTCCATCTATGAAGGAATCACTCAACTAAACTACACGTATTATTGGTTGCATAGTTTTGTGAGGCTGAGTGAACCGTGTCTGTAGTTTTTATCTCTGAGAAGAAAGTTGGTTGAATAGCAAGATCGCATTTGAAATCATCACCGCGCCCGCGTTCTGTGTAATTACTGTTAGCATGTATATGGCTTGTATACTTCGACAGGGTACAGTGAATATAATTATTACTGATCTCTCTCATTTTTGAAATTCAACAAATTTGTATATGTAATTTCCAGAATGTGCAATTAATTTTTAGCTTTGAATCTCGATTAAGAGTATTTGAGACAAGAATCCAATGGAATTATCATCAACACATACAACTTACAGCTTAGACCTCCAGTAATACCATCTCTCAGCAGATTCTACATAAAATCAGAGCCAAACATTAATAACTAAAGCATCATGACATTTAGGCAACACGTACAACTAAGTGCTAAGTTGACATCTTGTAAAAAAACCTACATAATATCAAAAAAAAACTGCATAATGTCAAAAAAAAATCGGCATAATGTCACTTTTTAAAATAGTGAAGGTTCGTCGTCAAAAAACGTCAAAATATGGAAAATAGGTTAGCTTTCTACCACATCTGTCTTTTTCCTAACTACTTTGATCCCCAACCACATAAGCGCCGTCATCGGACGCGAAAACGCACACTCTTGTAGATTCGCTGTAGAATTTTAATCGATGAATTTTTTTATATTTACTTACGTAGTCTAGTTCCATAACAGCTGGGTTGTATACTTCCTCCGTTCACGCAGAAGTCCACTGTGCCAATTTGATTCCTTTCGCCCAAAAATCCTGCATTCGTATGGATGACCTCAACTTGGTGAGCATCTTGTTTATCCAGCCTGAACTCTTTGTGCGCGAAGCGGTCTATCAATGGCCTGGCTGGATCCAATCCTTCAAAATTAGTCAAAGAGGTTAAATTATTCTAAAAATCTATTCTAAATAAAGAA